ACTCATTAAAGTGCAAATTCCTGCGAATTTAGAAGAGCTAATAAAAAGTGTTTTGAGAAAAGTTTATGGAGGAGCTAACGAGGTTTCTTTTGCTAAAAAAGAATTTTTTCAGCCGTTTACTTAGTTTATAAAAGCCAATTTACTAAAGTAACGTTGTGACACTTTTTTTTTCTCTTGCGTATTCTCACTGCAAATCAGTTAGAATTTGACTGGATAGACTTTTTAGGCCTCCAGATAGATACTTTTTCGATTTTCCAATTTCAGTTTAGATGTGTCAATGTCATTTTTCGTAATTTCAATAGGAATTATTTTCTTTGTTTTCTTTCTTGCAATCTTGATAAAATCCTCACGAGGAAGCCTATGGACATGTCCGACTCTGATTTCGTTTGTTCATACGTCAATCAGTAGAGGATAACGAGCTTGTAAAAAGCTACAAATAATCTGTGCCGATCGCTCTTCGTTCAAAAGTTATGACCATTTTTCTATTTTTCCCAGTCCAAAAATAGCTGTAACGTAACGTTTTCACCATCAAATTTCAATTTTTTCTCAAAGTCAACATCATATTTCGAATTAGCATTCAAAACTGCATTGATATCGAGTTGAAAACAAGAACATAAAAGATGTGACGAACAGCATGGTTCGTTATAGTTACTGCGCACTATATGACGGCTCACAGGACTCACTTGAAAAAAAAGAAAATACATTTTCTGACACTTCCGACTATACTCTACAACCTGGCATAAACGGTTTTGTTTAGTTTTGAAAAAAATACTTAATCAGGGAAGTGTCGCGTTACTTGGACAAGCCGCTTAAAGCAAAAAAGATGAATGAAGTCGACTACGGATATAAGATTTCTGCTTTTCGATATTTCTGTTGTATTTGGCTTATAGAAACATGGTTGTATTTTCTTCTTTATATAGTTTTGGGAAGTAATATCGGATGAACACGGAATTGATCCAACAGGAACATATCATGGTGACTCTGATTTACAATTAGAAAGAATTAATGTTTATTATAATGAAGCCTCTGGTATGATGGAACACAAAAAGTTCATCAATCTCTCGACAGATATCGTCTATTTTCTTAATGTTTTAGGTGGCAAATATGTACCACGTGCAGTACTTGTCGATTTAGAACCAGGTACAATGGATAGTGTTCGAAGTGGGGCATTTGGGCAATTGTTTCGTCCAGATAATTTTGTTTTCGGTAAGAATAAACGTCCTGTTTAACTGTGTAGTACCTGCCGTTTCTGAGCAAGCATGGGAGTACACCTTTTCAATACGGTCGTATGTTTTGTAGAGTATTACTACAATATGCTAACACCCATTAACACCCAAAAAAAGTGACGCAAACACCCAAAATAATATGCCAGAATAATCGCCATCCTTTTTTGAGTCGATTAGATCACTTTCAAATGCATAGGAAATCCGATGAGAGCAGAGGTGGTCGGACCACTGATTTTTGAGATGTGATCCTCCTGTATAATCAAAAATAATTTTTTTTCTCAATAAAGTGCTTCATAAAGTATAACAGAAGGACGGGCGTGAAATTCTCTACAAAACTTCAACCTCGAAATATATACCCCATTGTTCTTCAATTTTTTATTAGCAGCGACCTTTTTTCTTTAGGGTATCTCAATCTCAAAGCTTCTAAAGCATCTAAATTTATTACACAATTTGTGTAACACAATGCTTTTCTCTGAATGAAAAAACCTACTATATACAGAGAAAGCTGTTTTTCGTTGGATTAAAATAAAATACGATTTTAATGAATTAAAAATAACAATAATGTATATGTTTAATAACTACATATCATTTGTTTCGCCCTTATAAAAGTTTGATGGCTTTGATTGAACCTTTTCTAATGCAATTGAAAAATCTGAATTATGATTTCGGAGTCGTTCTGCTGAATCTTCACCAATATCTAATGTACCATGTTCAATAACATCTTTTCGAAGAGCGTTATTCACAGCCAACCAAAAATTATTTTAGATTGTACAGGAGGATCACATCTCTAAAATCAGTGATCCAACCACCTCCGCTCTCATCAGATTTCCTATGCATTCGAAAGTGATCTAATAGACTCAAAAAAGGACGGCGATCATTCTGACGTATTATTTTGGTTGTTTGCGTCACTTTTTCGGGTGTTTGTAACGAAAAAGTCCTAAAGAATTCTGTTTGAAAGATAAAGTTTTTCGGTGTTTGTTTATTCACAAAGAACAGGTCAGTGTTATGAGTTCCCCATTGTGCGAAAGTCATCCACAGGGTCAAAAACTTGCAGCTTTGGTTGGTTCAGTATGACGGAAAAAACAAAAATTTGCGTTTTGCATTTTTAAAGAGACTCGGGCAGCCGTTCCTGGATTTGAACTTTTTTGATATATTTTCATTCAGAACAAAGACCGAATTTGTAATATACGCGTAAAGCGGGACTAATGGATCTGACGATAAATTTTCTCCAAAAAGAACCCCTTGAAATTATCAGTCTAGTGCTGAAGGGGGAATCCTATAGAAAATTTTGAAAAACCGAGTGGACTCTTTAAGAAAAGCCCAGAGTACGGTTTTTCAACAACCCTTTCTCGTAGACTGACACCTTAGTGTACTAAGTTAGGTTTTGTATGGCAATTACTAGAACACTCTCGCCAACTCGTATAAAATGTCACCTAGCCATGAATAACTTTGTAAAAGAAAAAATCAAAAAATTTGACTTTTGACCCAGTGGATGATCTTCGAACAATGGGGAACTCATAACTGTTGAAGGAAACGTTTCAGACTATGATATTTTCAGGTTATTCTCATCATCAGAAACGTACCTTTAGTCTGGCTAACGGGTTATACATAAGTTTTGCAACAAATGTCGAGCGCTGTTTCTCTATGCTCCGATTGTCGTTCTAGAGACTTTACTTTCTTTTTGTTTGAAAGAGCAAACTCTAAACTACAAAAAGTGTATCAAATAAAATTTTCTCTCACCAAATTTCATTGAGAAACAATTCAAAAACTATACATCACTAAAAATAGTCTGGTTAAATTTTACTAAAGCATATCAAGAAAAGTTCTTCACTGGTGTCAAAAATAATAACTTTTTGCTGAAATCAAATACACGAAAAAATAGCCCGTCAAAAATTCTATGGATCTGATCTCCTTAAGAATTTTCAAGTTACTTTTTTGTGATTTTCTGAAACGCTTTCTAAAAGTCAGATTTTCTGAAAATAGAGATTTTTCGTGTAACAATTGGGGACTTCAGCAAAAGCGATAGATAAAATATGAAGTGAATGAGATTAGTTTTTGTTTTACAGCAGATTATAGAAATTAAATGAAGGTCATTTTCAATCCAAAAACTGGGAAAAAGTTCATCTGTTAATTCAAGAATTGGCAATTAATGCTAATAAACTGATTTTCTAACGGTCCTCAAATAAACGATTATTTCTTCACAGAAACTGAATAAAAGGAAAATGTGTTGCACACCATTCAAAAGAGCGTTTCAAATACTCTCAGATGTAATAATTAGTTATCTTACAAGCTTATCCTTAAACCAGAAAGAACCGCTCCGAAGAAGATAGAGAGCGGACATTTTGACGATTTACCAGTACATTTTTTAGTGATGTTTAGTTTTTAAATTTTTTTCAATGAGACTTTGCGAGCGATATTTTATTTGATACGCGTTTTGTAGTTTAGACTTTGCTCTTTCAAACAAAAAGAAAGTGCAAGCTCCAGAATAGTAGGAGCATAGAGAAACAACGCTCGACATTTGTTGCAAAACTTATGCATAACCCGTTATAGTCAACTTGCAGTTAGCATGACTCATTCTTTTACTCTATTGTGGTGTGTACTATTCGTGTATCTGTACACGTTACTCGTTTCTTTTTATAGGACAATCAGGTGCCGGTAATAACTGGGCAAAAGGGCATTATACAGAAGGTGCGGAGTTAGTCGACAGCGTTTTGGACGTCGTACGAAAAGAAGCAGAAACATGCGATTGTCTTCAAGGATTCCAGTTGACTCATTCGTTGGGCGGCGGTAAGTTTTGTCTTTCGTAGAACTATATTTTTGCGCAATAACTGCTAAGTGTAAGTGCTGCTTTTAATGTTTGTGCTAAAGAAATATTATGCACTTTTATATCATCTGTTCACTATATTTGTCTCAATGGTGAGTAATGTTCGTAGTGGAAAATGTATGTATCCTTCTATTTTTTTTTGCTGTACCAGACATGGACGAATAGGTAAACTAGGTAAAATTTCATTAAAAATTTTTTCTCCGGAAACTCATTCGATGCATTTTCATGCACAGACTGCAAATTTGGCTTTTGCTTTGCAAGAACATCTTTTCAGTATAGTATAAATCGAGAGGAAGCTATACAATTCTACTGTAATAGTGCAAAAATGAAATGTTCGTCATTTGCTTTAGTGTCAGATGTGACGAATATTTTTAATTTATGTGTAATTTAATCTATTCGTACTACTGCTCAAAAGTGTGTATTCGAGTCCCAGTACCCGGTACTCGAAACATGCTTTACTCGCCCACCTCTGTGTTGGGCATCTTCTGTAAATGACGAAAAACAACCTGTAATGATCTTGTTGTTACATTTTATTTTAGGGGAATAGAGCAGAAGCTTTTTTTGTAATTCGTCGGATCGATTATAAATTTCATGTTGAAAGAAGGTAAAACCATATGTGGGTTCTCCTCATTGATGTTTTCGTTTTTTTGCGTCTTAGAGACGCTCAACTATCTACGCAAATAGGTCACTGAGTTCCACGGAGATGCAAAAGAAATCAAAAATGTCGTTCTTGAAAAACCACTGTACCGCTGCTTTTAAAGTTTTTAACGTAATATTTGTGCTATTAGGGTTCACATATGTTTCAAATTTTAGCTGGATCTTTAAGTTTTGCAACAAACACCGCTGTAAATGTGGCGTTCTCTCGAAAAAATGACTCAAAGCATAGAATTTCGCGAGTCAAATATTGAGAATTCCTGATATTTTTCGTTATCCCAGTAAGCGGGTTTTTCTTCTTTCATTCAGGTACTGGTAGTGGTATGGGTACATTAATAATATCAAAAATACGTGAAGAATATCCCGATCGTATAATGATGACATTTAGTGTTGTACCATCACCAAAAGTTAGTGATACAGTTGTTGAACCATATAATGCAACACTGAGTGTTCATCAATTAGTCGAAAATACAGATGAAACATATTGTATTGATAATGAAGCTTTATATGATATTTGTTTTCGTACATTAAAATTAACAACACCAACATATGGTGATTTAAATCATTTGGTTTCAGCAACAATGTCTGGCGTAACAACATGTTTTAGGTTTCCAGGTTACTAGTTCTGTTTATCTACTTCTACTCACTCACCTCAGCCCTCTGTTTTCGTCTCTGTTTAGGTCAATTGAATGCCGACTTAAGAAAATTAGCTGTTAATATGGTACCGTTTCCACGTTTACATTTTTTTATGCCTGGTTTTGCACCGTTGACATCACGTGGTAGTCAACAATATCGAGCATTAACTGTTTCTGAATTAACACAACAAGTATTTGATGCTAAAAATATGATGGCTGCATGTGACCCAAGGCATGGACGTTATTTAACAGTAGCTTGCATATTTCGTGGTCGAATGTCAATGAAAGAAGTTGATGAACAAATGTTAAATGTACAAAATAAAAATTCCTCATATTTTGTTGAATGGATACCAAATAATATTAAAACAGCTGTTTGTGATATACCACCAAGAGGTTTGAAAATGTCGGCAACATTTATTGGTATGTTCGAATTTTGTTTAACCACAAAAACACCAGATATCCATCACAGAATCTAAGCATTGGTTGGGAATTAGATTTTTCAGAATACCTTTAAAAGAACAATAAAAACCTCGCCGGATTTGATCGAAAAGCGTTCTTGCTATCAAGTAGCCTTCTTTCGCTTGCGAACAGTATATGTCGTGACGTAATAATCACTGAAAGCTGCCTTAAATTAAAGCCTTAAAGGGTACCACATTTCCTAAGCTCCATTTTTACACGAAGAGGGCGGAATGAGTTAAAACTCGTACCTTGTGAGCCATGCCTTATTGTAGTAAAACTTAATATAAGAAGTTTGATTATAACAAAAAGTATTGATTAATATTAATGAAAAATATTGCACGTCTCTACTGTATTTAATTCAACTGAAAGATCTATATGGCAAGTGCTTACCACGAGTAGTTTTTGCATTTTCGAAAAGAAGTTCTACCCATCCATGAGATAGGTTTTCTTGTCTTAACTATATCATCAGTAGTATCAAGCGTAAAGAAAATTGAGATTTCTTAGATTATATTCTGTCTGGAAATCGCATGTGAATGCCCTAGTAGTGAGCTTATTTTGACTGCATTTACAAATTTATTCTTTGGGGGATGAGTTCACAAATGGATATCCAGTCCATAAAGCACGGACGTTCAAATGACTGTGCAAAACTGGTTTGGATTGCATTCATCGGATCTGTGGATGGAATAGTATCATCTGACAGGAAAGCTAGAATAAGTACCTTGGTTGAGAATGATAAGGAAATTTGACAATTAGATCTCAAACCATGGTCTTAGTAGACTAGACGGCACCAAAGAAATTTTTGAGATCTTTTGTAACGACGGAAAAATTCAGTTTTCGGCCTAAAAAAGGGGATTTTCGACTACTAATCTTCGATTACTCGCACTTATAAAGCATTTTTATTCGAAACAGAAATCATATTCGTAAACGTGAAAACTGAATCAAATGATTTGTCATATGAAAAAAATTTATTTTCCCTCAAAAATTGTCAAAATGATTATACTTTTTAAAAATGCATTTCTTATTAAAGTCTATATGTTATCTTTAAATGTTAAATGTTTATACTCAGATGGGATACTATCAGTTTTAAAGAACTCAGTGAATGACAAGGCTATATCAAAATTTAGAATACTTTTGGGTTTTCCATCTTAATTAGTTTGTCATTTTCTAGGAAACAGCACAGCAATTCAAGAATTATTTAAACGTATTAGTGAACAGTTTACAGCCATGTTTCGTCGAAAAGCATTTTTACATTGGTACACAGGTGAAGGTATGGATGAAATGGAATTCACAGAAGCTGAGTCAAATATGAATGATTTAGTATCAGAATATCAACAATATCAAGATGCTACAGCTGAAGGTAAGCTTAAAAGAGCATAATCGCGAGCTGAGCGAGCTAGGAAGGAAAACACATACTCACGTTATTTTCGACTGAAAAGTGAGTGACACAGTCAACTTCTCACACAAAATTACATATAAGTCTTCTTTCCGGCAGATTTTTTCGAAGTTACAAATTATTCCTCCAGGACCATTTTTTACTTTTCCATCAAACATAAGCCACGATCTAATGTGCTCAACCGACTATCTCAGCTTTCTTCTAACGTACGGTGCTTATTTATAGCAAACATTTTTTCATGAATTTTGGCGAAAACTGGAAGTCTTAAAGTTATTGCGTTGCTAAGATATTCAACTTTTACAAAAACTCCGAAAAACTAATATTCCGTTATCTTTAAAAATTGTCAGCTTAAACTACGTGTAACTCCGTAATGAGATATAACTAATCAACTTTATCATAAATACTAGACAGTGTCTACTATAAATCACAACCGCGAGTTCCGGACATGTTTTCCTTCTTTAACAGTAGTAGTCGCTGTGAGAACCCAAATCACCGAACTATACATTTTGGAGGACGATTATCTGCCGGACAATGAGGAGTATTTCTTGCCCCCTATGATATTGTTGAAGTATACGCAGTGTACTATCATGAGCTATGCTGAGATTTTTGGGGATCTTTTAAAACCCGTGGGAAACCAAGTGAGGTTTCTACAAAAACTAAAACATGAAGTTTTAAAACTGGATTTGGGATTTTCAAGTCAACCATATTAGGTTACACATGTCAAGCTATTCTTACAACTATTCGATCGCTTTTTGATGGAATCAGAAACTTTTAGTTCAAGTGTTGATTGGAAGCATAGATATATGCGTATGTGGAGATACTCTGGTCTTGGTGGAAAATATCGAAAGGAAAAACGTCGAAAAGGATAATGTCGATAAAAAAATAGCAAAACGTCGAAGAGGAAAATGTAGAAGAACAAAATGCCGAAAAGGCAAACGTCAAAAGCGGATAATGGAAGAAGGAAAGTATCGAAAGGAAAACGCCGAGAAGGACGAGATTTCTTTCTGTTCCTTCAAAATCACTGAATGAGATATACGTATTATTATCATTAGAAGTACTATTGGTTCTCATCAGACATCTCCAACCTCGTAGTAATTATAGCCACTCGTCGAAAAACTAAAGTATGATGAAGTTCAGTATGGCTGCTACGATGAACGCCTCACCCTCATCCCACCCTCACCTCACCCCCACGTTCAGTGATTTTCAAAGGAACAGAAAGAAATCTCGTTCTTTTCGGCGTTTTCCTTTCGATACTTTCCTTCTTCCATTATCCGCTTTTGACGTTTGCCTTTTCGGCATTTTGTTCTTCTACATTTTCCTCTTCGACGTTTTGCTATTTTTTTATCGACATTTTTCCTTTCGACGTTTTCCGTCAACCCCGATACTCTAGTGTTTGAATAATTTAAAACTTAGTTAAAACTGATCGGATAGTTGTAAAAATAGCTTGATTAGTTAGTTGATTAGTCATATCTCATTACGGAGTTACACGTAGTTTAAGCTGACAATTTTTAAAGATAATCGAATATTAGTTTTTCGGGGTTTTTGTAAAAATTGAATATCTTAGCAACGCAATAACTTTAAGACCTCCGGTTTGCGCCAAAATTCATGAAAAAATGTTTGCTATAAATAACCTCCCTATGTTAGAAGAAATCTGAGATGGCCAATTGAGCAGCATTATACAGTAATAGATCGTGGCTTATTTTTAATCGCTCTTACACTCGTATTCTGATCCTAATTTAGAAACAATTTTTGAATAATATGTCATTTGACGGCGAATAAAAACTAGATACAATATGCGTCTTGTTCTTTAAATGAAAGCGCTTGTGTGGCAAATCATTTTATTAAAAAATCGCAAATGCTTTCGACGAAAAATTTCTAGCTTTGAAAACTGTCGGAATTGCGACTTGTATGTGAGTTTGTATGAAAATTTGAGTGTGTCACTTTTGAATCAAAACTAAAGTTGACGATGTGGTGGTAATACTTATTGTACGTGCATCGGTCCGATGCTGTGTTAAAAAACAAAGAAAACATTTCATATCGACGAATAACTTACAATTTGTTTTATATCATTATAGACGACGGTGAAGGCGGTGAAGAAGAACAAGACACTGACTAAATGATCGTCGATGAGGATAACAGGACTAGTTTTATTTGTTGTTGTTTTCATTTGCTGAATAAAATATAACTAAAGTCTTTTGTTAAATTTTACTGTTGTTTTCTCTGGATGTGTGTGTAAGGGAATGACCAGGAGATGAATCACATCATATTATGACTAGAACTCATACACTGACTGTGATAGCAATAATCATATTGTTTGTTTTACAGGCTTTCTCTACAGAAGAATGCAATAATGTATCGAAAGAAGTCCTTTTCATACACAGAACCGCTGATCAGACCTGTAGCAATTCTTCGGCTACAAAACTCAGTTTTCTTATTTGAATCTGGTACAATTTTTATCTTATTTGAATCAATTTTGGGAAAGGTATGCTTGTTTAGTATAAGCGAAGTTGGTCTAAAACTGTATATTTTTAAACAAACAGGTTTACAGTAGATGTTTTAACCTATTCCGAGAGAGAAACATTAATATAATAGTATCTTGCCATGGTAGATGATCAATAACAAGAAAATTAATTTCATCAAGTCATTCCTAAGAGTCATAGAAAATGATAAAGACGTTATGATAGGAGAGATAAAGAAAAAAGTTGTACATTGGACATAGCCTTCACTTTGCTATAAGCTGTTCCCAGGACATTGAAAATTGCCAAGTTAAAAGAATTTGTGAGAGCGTCGAGAAAGTCGATAAAAATAATTTCTTTTTTAAATACGATTACTTCTTTCTAAATATTCTTCATTGCCTGACCGTACACCAATAATTCATACGGCGAATTTTCTTTTAGTATCATCATATATTTGAAGGTTATAACGTATAACTATTATAAAGATAAAAAAGATAGTAAATAATATACTTTGCTCAACTAATTCTTGACTCATAGCAAAAGCAGCAAAATGAGCTTGTCGATTTCGATATTAGGTTGATGTTAATTTAAACTGATTTTTTTCTTTCATATTTCGATGTTTCGATATATGATCCATACATTTCTTCTTTGATTTTGTTATTGAAGACATCATTATTGATAACATTTTTGTAATCTTTCGTTTGAATGTCTAGATTAGGACTATTCGTTTAGTTACGTCTAATAATCAATTAAAAATACTTTTACTCGGAAGTAAAGGGTGAGACAAAAGTTTTGCATTAATTTTTTGTTTTATATAGCGTTGCGATAGAATATCGTAGAGATTTTATCCTTTTTTTGTTAGAAAGAACATAGTCTAAAGGACATATTCATATATTTTTTCGTCTCTCCTTTACAGATTTTTTTCACATGGAAAAGGACGAAAGAGAAGCATTCAGATTGCGTGTTGTAACTTTCAATAAAGACCCTGCGAGTAGTAACTTGAAAACTACATGAAATTTCTACAAAAAAGAAGGTTATAATTATTCAATTATGTATCGAATCATCCAAAAATATGAGCAATCTAAAACAATAAAAGATTTGCCAAGACCCGGTTGTCCACGTAAATTAAACAAGAAACAAATGACGCGAATCGCGCTTACTTTGAATAGCAAGAGTGGTATCAGTCAACGAAGTCTGGCTAGGCGTTTTAATGTCGATCAACGAACAATCGGTCAAAATTTGAAACAACGAATTCGGACTTCCAAGAAATCAGATGCCACGCCAATAAAAAATAAAAATGAAGTGGTGGATGGATTCCCATTTTTGAAAAGGATACTCTGACTATCTGTCCATGAAAATATTAAAATATGCATCATAAATATTTTCGAGAAGGGTAAAGCCGTTTGCCTTGAAATGTATCTCCTTTTTTTCTCATCTAGACTTCCGGTGAAAAAACGAGCTCGTAGCATTAGTCCTTATCGAGAAAATCGAAGAATATATCTAAAATGTCGCGCGACCTTGAAAGTGACTTTTCTCCAGTTTATAACAACTAAGCACTTCGCGAAATATCTTAATAAAAAGAACATTCTTAGCGTGTATTTTTCATGAAAAAGGTCCCGTCAGACCCGCTAAAGTTCAAAAAGAAAAGCGGCAAAACTTTTCCAAAACGCTCGTTTTCTGCTTGGATACACCGTTTCTGGCGAATTCGTGATGTTTTTGGCAACAATTGACAAAGAGACAATTTGGGAAGAGATTCACTATGTCAAACAACAAAGCCAATTAGGATGAATTTGCATCTGAGTTGGGAAGCTACGGTATCAGAATATCGAAAGTAAAATTCGATTAATATCAAAAAAAGAAGATAAAAGCATATAAACGCCCAATACGTGACAACGTTCCGATTGCTACGATATTTTAAACAGTAAATAATATGATTTTGTCTTTAAAAACAAATTGAAAGAAAAAAAAATACAGAATTTTCATTTCAAATAAAATTGGCGCTCTTTCTTTTAAAAAACGACTAGGCACACAAGCATAATGTCTTCCTGATGAAAAATGTACGAATATGCACAACTTTGTGGAACCGGCAAAAACCTGGGCGGCTACATTTATAACAATTGAAATTAGATATGCGATAAGTCGGTTGAAACGGTCGTGGTTGAAAATTTAGTGATGAATTTCGCTAAGAGATTCGTATTTGAAATTTGAGTTTGAATTAGAATTTGCATGTGTTCGAGGTTCAGATTTATTTCTGTGATACAGAATTTCCTCTGCTTTTTGGGCTTCCTCTAATATATCATCAAACGAGGCGTATTTTGATGCTCCCATAATTGTTAATGTGTCTGATCACATTTTGCAGTAATGATGTCGAATGAGATCTCTTTCTTCTTTCGCGCAGGACGCAGTTCTATCCATTGTGAGCGTAAAAATACGAACTACAAGCTCGTTAATTGTTTCATCTGAACGTTGTTTGTAATCATTCCATTCTTTCTGTTACGGTGAATTAAATTGATTCAGAAACTGTTACTGAAATTCTAACTGTGTGTTAGGAGCTCTATCTCATCAGCATAGTTGACAGTACCATTCTAAAGCACTATCTCTTAGAAACTGGGATATTCCTTTGAGTAATTGTTGTGGTTTCTAATTATTTACTATCGCCGTATATTAATTCAAATCTTAATCTCAAACATATGCAAATTCTAATTCAAACTCAAATTTTCAAATACGAATCTCTTAGCGAAATTCATCACTGAATTTTCAACCACGACCGTTTCAACCGACTTATCGCATATCTAATTTCAATTATTATAAATGTAGCCGTCCCGGCCATATCCTAAAAAAGTGTACGCAACCCGGTGCCAATTCTCCACGATATCCAAAAAACGAATAAGGAGTCTCCAGGGAACGTTGCTATGAGACTCCAATAGATTCGTCCCCAACACAAGCCACCCTCAACTTCACACAATCAATGTAAACTCATCACTCTTAATAGTAGAAGGGAAAATCAACGGTCTTTTGACCAATCTGCTTATTGATTCGGGCTCCTCACTTACCCTCATCAACATGAAAGTGTTACAAAAATTAGGTTTCAACATCAATACGAAACTTCGTAGTCCCTGAACACATTTACGAATCCCGTTAGTCGATAAATCTCCCCTATACGTCAAATATGCATTAATATTGCCTATAATAATCGATAACATCACGAAGTATCATACGGTATATGTGGTTCCTCTCTTTTGGAGGCAGTGTATTATCGAAAATAATTTCATTCAAACCACAACCTTCAGATTGATGGTGTACAACAAAAAGTCTAGTATGAAAAGAAAAATGAACAAAATCATCGGGAATCTACGCATATATCGAACACACAAAAAGATTTCCGCAATCATAAAGTATATACATTAATGTCCGTAGAGACAATTTAAATTCCACCGTTTCATGCAAACTATATTCAAGTGAAACCATATACACCATTTAATTTTATTAATGATGAAGATGAGTATGAAGTATATTCACTTATCCAACACAGACCTATCCACTAGTCAAAAACACCAAACCGAAGAATTATTCGAACAGTACCCAGATGTACTTAGAGAGAAACCAAAACGAACAGGAGTACTGAAGCATCATGTTGAAACCAAACCAGGAACGCAGCTTCGAAATTCAGCTCCACTTCGTTACGGAAACGGTTTCGCTTCATACACTAATTACCGCAGATAGAAATATCAGTACACTGGTAACGATAGCCAAAAGCATCCAGAAGAAAACAAAATGTTCATCGTAAATCAACCTAATAGTCTCATGGCATTCCTAATGATAGTCACTACCTCACATCTTATAAATCCCATCGCATTACCACATATGATAATTGCGCATACGCATACGGGTCCCTTTTTTCCAGAAGTCGATATTTTCCCACAGGGACTTCCTCGTTCTTCGTTTCTCATAAGAACTTTAACTTGTTTCGTGAAAAACTGGATGTCTTTTCAGAAGAAGTTCGTCTTTTTTCGTCGAACACTCGATGATTCTTCAAGAGAACTTCGTCTCTCTTTTTGAAAAAGTCGATAAGTTCTCACCAAAACTTAGACATTTTTCATTCAAGACTATGTGTTTCCTCATCAGGACTTCATCTCTTTCTTTCAAGACTCGATAATTTTCCACACGAACTTAATCAATCTTCGTCAAATACTCGATAAGTTCTTACAAGAACTCGATATTTTTTCTATCGTACAGAACTCAATCTTCTTGATATTTAGAAATCTGAAAACGCATGGAAACATAGGTCATCGACCACGCTGAATCTTGTGGGAATGTTTATTTTTCGGAAAAGCTGTTTGTTTCGATTCAGCATGGTCGATAACCTATGTTCTCATGCGTTTTCAGATTTCTAAATATCAAGAAAATTGGGCTCTCCCAGGAAACGGTCGCTTCTGCCCAAACGATCGTAGCTGAAGCTGTCGGTTTTGGGCAGGTATGTAGACTAGATGCTGCTTTATGTTAGGTTAATTCTCAAACACTAGACTTGTATGAAAAGTTAGGGAGTGGCACTCTTATCTTTAGAACATCCATCAAGTACACCGTGATAGACCTCATTGATAGGAAAAAAGACGAACTTCTTCCGAAGAAACATCGACTGTTATAGGAAAAATCATGAAGTTCTTGTGCAAGAACTTTATCTTCTTTCCTGAAAACCTCGATGTTTTTTCACAAGAACTTCACGTTTTTCCCTCTTAACGTCCTTCTCTCTCCACAAGAACCTCTCCAGAAGCGTTTCAGTCTTTTTCCAGAAAACCTACGTGTTTCTCCACAAGAAGTTCAGGCCTTTTCCTAACATACTCTACGTTACTCCACACGCACTTTTTTTTTTGAAAAACTCGATCTATCTCCAGAAACACTTCATTTTTCATCCTGAAAAACTCGACGTTTTCTCACAAGAATTTCAGCTTTTTTCCTCAAAAATCCGATGTTTCTCCAAAAACACTTCACATTTTCCCCTAAAATATCGATGTTTTTTCACAGGACCTTTATCGTCTTTCCTGAAACATTCGATGTTTCACCAGAAGAAGCTCATGGTATTCCGCATCAAACTCTACGCTTTTCCACATGCAGCTCATGTCTTTTCCTGTAAAACTTGGTCTTTCTCCAACAATATTTCATACTTTTCCTGAAAAGCTCGATGGTTATTCAAAAACAGAGGTTTCTTTCCTGCACTAAAACTTTATCTTGTTCCCTGATATAATCGATGTTTTTCACAAGAGCTTTAATCCTCTTTCAGGAAGAACTCGATGCTCTTCCACAAGAACTTGATCTTCTTTGCGGAAAAGCTCGGTGTTCATGCCTTCTGCTGAGAGAGGCCTTGTTTCTACGCAAGAGATGATCATTTTTCCTGACAAACTCCATGTTTGGCAAATGTATGACGAACACTTCATGTTTTGTACTGAAAACCTAGATGTCTTTTCACAATAAGGTAGTCTTTTCTGTAAAAAAGCTAGATGTTTTTCCTTTTCCTGAAAAACTAGATCTCTCTGCACAACAGCTCTGGTTTCTTGCCTGAAACACTCGATCTTTCTCCAAAAACAGTTCATTGACCTGCAAAAACAAGTCATTTTTTCCGATATACTCGATATTTTTTAACTAGAGCTTGATCTTCTTTGCGGAAAAGCTTCATGTTTTTTCACAGAAACCTCATCTTTTTCCTGAAAAAGTCGATGTTCCTTCCTCGACAAGAACTTTATCGTCTTCCTTAAAAAACTCGATGTTACTACAAAAACAGTTCATTTTTTTTCCCGACACACTCGATGCTTCTTCACAGAAACTTTACCTTTTTTCCTGAAGCAATCGGTCTTACTGCACAAGAACTTTAGCTTCTTGCCTGGAAAACTCGATCTTTCTCCAAATCGCCTCATTTCTATTGCCGATATACTCCATGTTTTTTTTAGAAGAGCTTGTTCTTCTTTCCCGGAAAAACTCGATATTTTTCACAATAACTTGATCTTCTTTGCGAAAAAAAATCGCTGTTTCTTCACAGAAATCTCATCTTTCTTCTTTCTGTACAAGAACTTTAGCTTCTTGTCTGAAAAATTATATGTTTGTTTGTAGAGAAAGATCGAGTTGTTAACAAGAAAATATGAGCTTTCTGCGAAGAAAAAATTTTTCGCAAAGAACTGAAAAACCGTTTTTGAAGAAGGAAGCTCAAGTCCAGTTGAGTTTTTCACCGAAACAGATTGCTGTAGAGAACTATCTTCTTTTCGACCTAGAAACCTGAACGTCTTGTGGACAAACATCGAGTCTCTGAGGGTGAAGGGCGAGGGTGTGACGGTGAGTTCTCCACAAGAACTTCATGGTTCCCCCCCCCCGAAAACTCCTGTATTCTTGGCCAGAACCTCAGGATTTTTCTGGGCCAAGTCCAGTTTCTGAACACGCATTTAAACGTTTTTCCTGAAAAACTCTATGTTTCTCCAGAAGCGTTTCAGCCTTTTTTCACGTTTTTTTGTGCCCGGTTCGGGTACAAAAAAATATTTTGACACTTTTGTGCCCGGAGACAGATATGTGCTCGGATTCGATTGATTTGTGCTCGGTTTTAATTAGATTAGGCATATTAATGAGAACGGTTATTATCACTATTTATTTACTGACGTAGTCGCAGAAATAGACAGAACAGGGAGAATATGTAAGCACAACAGCTAAACACCAGACAACGCATTTTCTACTTTTCTTGGTCTTCCGCGTCGTTTCTGGAAATTTTGTAATCTTGCTGGGTCTTTTACAATATAACAACCAAAATGCATCATTAAACCAATAGCATGCTTACATACATTTGTTTCAAATTTGATCTACATGAACAAGTCATTGGAATTGTAATAAGTCGGCCAGCTTTGAGCCATTGAGAAAAATTGTCCCATTGCGTCCATGGTAACGTAGAATATTCTTGTAACCATAACATAGAATCGTGTTGGTGATTGAATGTTGATGGAACAATAGATGGATCACCATACCAATGTAATATTGTCTTCTTATCAAGACTTTGTACCCATGTTAAAGCCTGTTTTTCTTGTGCAACACTCACAACTGGAAATGTATGAAATGGTCTTCAGTTGATTTCGATGACCATTCAGATAGCATTTGTTGCATTGTTGGTAAAAATGAAAATAACTTTAATTTTACTCTGAGTGCATATTGTTCTTTAATTTTGCTATTTCTTGATTCAAGACCGTTATTTGTTGACGGAACACCCATTGCAGCTCCTTCATACCAGTATCTTAAATCATTTATCCAGGTTGTTTCAAAATTATTAGAAAATATAACCAAATCAGGATCAGATCTCCATTTTGTTAATAACAATGCAGCTTCTTTGAAAAATACTGGATCACCGAATGATAACTGTAAAATATGAAGTTCTTCATCAATAAGTTTCTGTTTATGTGCAGGAATCATTTTTCGATGTTAGTGCATTTTCGAACGAACATTCGGTCTTGATACTGAACGATGATACTTTAACAAACTTGACGCTTGTGTACTTGGAACATCACTAGTGCATTCATTTTGTATAGCACGACGTGTTTGAGATTGAGTTAGTCCAGCTGCTACTGATTTTTTTGACAATATCTCTAACAGGTGATGAAACGCGAGTTGTACTAGCACGATGATCATGATTATGTTTACTAGACAAGCAGCAACTTTTTTATCATTGTAATGGATCAGACGAATTTGAAAATCGCATTCAGGATATTTTCTAGCTTGGCTTCATCGATATGTTACTTTTTTTCCAAGAGCTATTGTTCCGGTTCGTTTTATTGAAACATTATTTTGTTTTATAAGTGATTTTATATCATTCTGATCAGAAAATTCTTCTACAAAAAAATTCCACGCTCTCCGAGCCATGGTTTAAAGTAAGTTTTAGTTGAAAGTTTCTTTTTGATTTCAGTTACCCTAGTAGCATTCCCGCTTCATTTCGCAGCAAGAATACAGCCTCATCTTGCCGCGATTTTGATAAGAAATTTGAAACTTAACGCAGGATCGATATCGCGATCGTACCTAATCTTGCTATTTTTCCCGTGTAACGAAAATTTGACAATGTTGACGCAAAATTTTTTTGACGGGATCGCGCTGAAATCCTACAAAGATTGCAACGGGATCCGAACAAGATCATACCAAGATCTCGGTATGATTAGAACAAGGTTGCAGGAAGGCTGAGAAAGCTTTCCTACCACTTATCTGATTGCCACTACATTCTTTCGATGGTTTAATCTCTTTTCCACCACATTTCATCATGTTTTACTCGGTATATTCTTCGAGAACATGAAGTAATTAGAGATTTTCTCCTAGAACACCTTCCGAGTACACAGCAATTTACTTTTTTTGTTTTGAGTTATAAGCTCCATTTCATTTCAATGTCACAAAGTTGAACTATTATTAATTTGCTCATCTAAAATGTGATATTGTTTTTGCCGGTGAGGTTTCATCTCAGATGTATCTTTAGCTTCTTCATCGGTGTATTTTTCAGTTCTGATTCGAAACGTTACTGCCATTGGATTTCATAATAAAAGTGAGAGGGACTGTCTTTGTGTTTTATCTGTGAGTTGTGCCAATAAGGTAATACTTGCCGTATGTGAAGAAAACATTCACTCTTGAACTTCCAGTGAATGTGTATCTGTAGATACTTGACACTCGGATCCGTTCGTTGCTAGAGCCAATCTAGCGTCCTGCGATTGAGGTGCTCTGTCTGTGCCGCTATTCTCTGTACATCAAACAGGATCGAAATGATCGTTGCTACATTCTGAAAGACTCAAACAGCAAAGCGATCTTACACCGAGGTAACCCACAATTTGTGATACTTCAACCTTGTGCATTTCTCTCACTGTTGTGACTTTTCATTCTGAGATCTCTGCACAGTCAACATTCTTAACTGAATCTGCACACCGGAGAAGACTTTAGATTTGATGCATTGTCCGAGAAAGAATATTATCTTTCAGTTCTAAACCTGTCAAGAAGAAAATAGTTCAACTTTGAGACAAAAAAATTAATTTTCCTCTCCAAATGCTCTTCTCTCTCGAAAATTGCTGTGTACTTACTGATGACAATAGTCAAACAGTTAGTCTATTTTCATTAACTACAACAACACACAAAACACAAAAAACACTCGTTGCACTGCGTTAAAAAGTCAAGAAATGAGTATAATTGACTTGTATTGTATATCTATTACACATGTTGAAAGAGAACAAAGAATAAACACAGTGGACGATGATATACGCACACTGTCTGTCTGTTTTTCTTATTCTATCGACGGATGGATGAAATAAAACAATATTACATCGTTACAGACTGAGATAAAGGAAAATACGAAGTCAGTGTGATCCTAGTTTCATGCAAGATTGATTTTGTACTTTGATAGTTTAAGGAACAGAATGATATAACAATAAAAAAATTTTCTCAACAGTGGGCAAAGGAAAGATCTCCTCAAGATCTTGTCTCGAATTAGACACGATCTTGCTATAATCCTGCTGCGGTCCCGTCACTGTCTTGAAAAACAAATGAAACGAGATCACATAACGAACTTGATCAAGAACGCGATTCCAATTATAAGATCGCGATTTTATTTTCTCAAGATCAGCGTTTTTTCGTTACACAGGAAAAAATCGGGTACGCGATCAGATCTCAGCAAGAATGGAACGGGAATATCCCTAGGGTATAGGGCTATCTTTGAACTAGGATGATCCAATGATTACGTCGAATTCTCTGTTTGTGCATAATATATCAATCGGATTCACGAAAAAGATCCTTGATCAACATTGCCAGGCTGTGACAACTGTATAGTACTTGCACATCTTAGTATAGTTCTTGCACACTTTTACTTGCATGCATCTTGCACATAAATATATACACGTATATCACAAGCGATATCTGTCAGAATAACTTATGGTCTACTATTAAATTTAGTATATATTATATATTGGTATTATATTTTCATTTTTAAACACAAACCGGGCACATATCTATCTCCGGGCACAAAAGTGTCAAAAGATTTTTTTGTACCCGGACCGGGCACAAAAAGTTTTAAACGGGCGCAAAAAAATATAAACGAGCACAAATCTGTCGTAATTCCGGGCACAAAAAAAGCTTCGTCCGCGTTTTACTATCTAACCTTTCTTTTCTAGAAACAAAAATAAAATGACAGAAATTGTATTATATAATTTTAAGCTTCTGTATTTATCTGGTTTTCGACTATCATATCTCTTTACTTTTTTCTTCTTCTTTTTTTTTATGTATTCCTTCAGGAAAAATGATCATTGAAACAGAATGAGTTGTACAATTCAATTTTGGCTCTAACATTTTGATCATCTAGCTCTCCTTTACTAACAGATAATAGGAGTTTTTTGTCACTGTCAATGACTTCAAAGTCCTTCCAGTCGATTTTATGTCGGTCTCAACCTCATGTTTTTGCTAGAAATGATTTTATCTTGACATAATCATTAACTATAACATTCACATTGTTAGACCGTGAAACAGAAAGCCGGTCGTCTCGATTGCAGGAAAAGTAATGGAAAATGTCACAGTTGTCTTGTCGAGCGAAACACAGTTTTAAGACGTTCCATTCCATTTATTGATATAAGGTTGAAATACGCTAAAATAATTTGTGTAAGATCAACAGTGCAGTGCTTGAGTTCATATCAGTTTTGAAAACAATAAAAAAAAGGCAGAAAGTTTATACTTGTTCGTATACTTTTCAGTCGTTCTCTGTGACTGATGATGATTAATGATTTTAATCGAAAGCTTCGATCAATGAGTATTGATTGTTAACCTTGTACAAAATATTTCGACAGTTTTTGAGTAGACTATTCCATTTTATATTGAGCTCATAAGAGCCACTAGATTACTGCTTTGGGTTAAACTTGAAAGAACTACTATATAGTGGCTAACCTTGTTCATGTACGAGCTTGAGTAATCTTATTTTAAAAACGAAAATTCAACAAATAAAAATGAAATTTCAGGACAAACATCTCTATTCCTGTTCGATTTATAATAACTGTTTCGGTCTAATGACAAGGGTTTTCAAGTACTGCCCGACCAGATAACAAATAAACCATGAATAACGCCTGGAAGAAGTCCTAGTATTGTTAAACTAAAATAAAATAAAGTCTTAAAACACTGCTACATTAACAAAGATATCTTTTTTCTTTAAAAGGATCGAGAATACTTACAGCACGTTAATCCAGAATTGTTTTGTGCAACCAACTTGGATGATTACCGCAATCGGCGGAATAAAAATGCAAATTATCGACAAAAATATTTTAGTTATTGCGCCAGACATGATTCCACAATTGTAATGTGAAGAAATAAAATTGCGCGTGTGTATTCGAAGTGTTCTTTAAAAGCAGCGTTTTATTAAAGCACTTCACGATGTTGATGATAACAGGTTTTTTTGTTTGCATTAATTAGGTGTAGATGCTTTTATATTTGAAAAGATAACACAATAATTCTTTTTCTGAAGGGAGAAACGTATCTATTTTTTTCGTAGTATAGGTTATCATATTTCTTGCTCTGTTAAAGGTGGTAGGATTTTGTAAGAAAGTAAGTGTATTCTTTTTCCTACTTTCCTGTTCAAATCAACATTTTTTTTGACAAAATAAATTCAAGGTTCAAGGTTCATTGTCCTTTAGGAAAGAGCAAAGATTATCTCACTGATGTTGTATTATGTGTGTGACGATTATTGTTCACAACGTCTACTTCCAATGTACAGTTTATCTCTGTAGATAGGTATTTTGCTTTGGTGCGCTCCGTTCTTTCCTTTTTGATATTTTTGATGTTCCTTTTCTTTTTCATTTTGTTCTTATCTTTTGGCATGTAGTAGATATATTAGTTTTTAGTGTCAGTAGGTTGGAATTTTTTTTAAAGAGCGTGTCGAAATAAAAGTATAATATACATACACTACGTATTATAAAGCACACATACAATAACCTCTCAAGGACTTATAAGTAGAGGTCTCTCACACTTGGCGATCTCGTCTTGCCGAACCTTCCGTTCTCCTGCAAAACTCTTCTTTTTTTTCTTTCTATCTCTCTTCATATTGTCTGGTTTACATTGACGATATTATCATTTTTTCTCCCACGTTCGAATAGCACCTCCTAGACCTCGAGGCTGTTTTCTTGCGCCTAAAAGAAGCCAACTTAACCCTTAAAGCGTCCAAATGTGAGTTTTGTCTCAGTATCGAGTGATTAACGGTCTCTTATATACGAGTCGTAAACAATCTTCCCCTGTCTTCGAATCTCGCCCGCTTACGGGACATCACCTACTGAACCAGCTCTTCTTAACCGGTTATGAGATGAGAAAAATTTTCTCTCAGATAATTCATCAAAACTAAGAATTCCTCCGATGCAGGTGGTTGATGTTGTGGTATACTTGATTCAAACTAAAAACTTTCGAGGCAGAGGAATTTA